TCTCCCCATTTCTGTCTTCAGCCCACCTCCCCATAACCAGGGTCAAGCTGTCAGATTAAAGGCTGTAACATTACAAGTAGCTACAATGCAAACTAAACTATATGGGGATGTGGTTTAGTTTGCAATGTAACAAACTCATTTACATCATTAAAAAATACCCTTACATGTAAAGAGTGGTGCGATTAAATTGCAAAAAAAGGCAATTTTCATCACATACAAGCACCCTTTTCAAGCATACCACAGAGCACAGCTGTCGATCACTTTCAAGGGGCCAATCACATGACAAATGTCACTTCTGTCAGTGCGCATTTAGCCTGCACTCATTGGGTGTGTCCAGACAACCACACACGTGCCTCTCGCAGCATCTCAAAGCCTTTTGAGATGCTGCAAGAGACACGTTCAGGAACAAAAAAATGTTCCTCGCGCTGCAAATTTGCAACAGGGGGACAAAATTAGACCCCTAGATATCCAGGGGTCAAAAAATATCCCAGGCAAAAAAAGCAGGGCCTGAGTCCAGGACTCAGGCAACCGGAGGCTCGGGTCCTCCACAGAAACACTGCGGCAGCCATCCAGAGTGTCTCTATGGCTGACCCTTGCCTCACTGCTGAAGTATACTGCCTGCCCGGGTGGGGCAAACAGTGGTGCAGGCTTCAGGGAGCTGGACCCAGCTTTGTGCCAGGTAAGTAAAAGGCAGGGAGGGGCTGGAGGAGAGGGGAGGAGACTATGGGGGGGCACCCGGCCCCAACCCCCACTCACCCCCATGCCCAACCCCTGCTCTCTGATCACCCCAGAGCTTCCATAGCTGCTGCTACAGACCATGAGTGGAGGGCTTCTTTTTTTTAAAGGGCCAGGACACTAGGGCTGGGTGGGCCAGCCATCATAAGGACTGGGGGAGTGGGCAGGGGCCATGTGGGCATGTGGGCCCTGCGGGGGAGCTGTAGCCCCTGTGGGGGGCATGTGACCCCTGTGGTGGGTGGTAGCCCCTGTGGGGGGGCTGTAGCCCCTGTTGGGGCACTGTAGCCCTGCTGGAGGGGATGTGGCCCTGTGGGGGATATAGCTCCTGTTGAGGGGCTGTAGCCCCTGGTGGGGGGCCTGTGGCCCTGTGTGGGGGCAGTCCATGAGCTGGGGGGACTGCACCCTGCAGGGGGCAGGAGACCCACCTCTTCTGAGCAGCTGCCCTCCACAGCCCCTGCATGATCTACTAACACCTATCCACACACCCCACGGCCCCCCACATCCCTCCACAGCCACCCATACTTCTACAGAGTGACTTTGGGATTTTTTTATCCAGGATTTTAAAGTTTTTAAATAGGGAACACCAGAATTCCTGCTAGTGAGGCGGCAGTACCCAGGCAGAGGTGCTTGCTCAGAGCTGGCACCCGGGACCCAACTGGAGGTGACTGACCTCCTGGCCACTTGGGGTCAGGAGGACATGCTTTGACAGTTCAAAGCAGGCCATCACACTGAGAACATCTTCTAGGCGATAGCTGCCCAGATGGCTAGGCAGGGGCACACATGGCTGGGGGGCCACACAAAGGCCAACTCTGTA